CTCGAACATCTGTTGAAAGGATTGTCAAGCTGCTGTTGAACCGTTCACCTTTTGGATCAATGCTATCAGCTCGATTCCCCATCAAACTCACTGCTTCACACAGCTCTGCAAGAAACCAACTCCGACCGTCATAAACAAGTGTTGTTCTGTATGGATATTGTATGATCGACTTTTGTCCACTGTAGTCAACAAACTGTTTTGCCTTCCCAACAAATGCAGGACGACCGAACAACTCATGCCAACCACCTGGAAGACTGTACCAAGCCTTGGGAACATCGACTGGCAACATGTCTGTGGAACTCAATGCACGTGTCTCCTCAACAGCCCTGATCGTTCCTCTCAAGGCCAATGAATTCTGCTTGAACTCCACTGCCAAAGATGCACCTGTGTCATGCACCAGCTTGGGCGCTTCGCTCTCGCTTGCTTTCAAAGACCAGCCCTTCCTAATCAACTTGCCGAATGAAAGAATGGGATTGCTAACACTCTTGCTGATATAGCCAGTCTCTCTCAAAACAATCTCTGCACCTGTCTCGTCAATCAAACAAAACTCAATTGTTCGACAACCTGATGTAGACAAACTTTTGCCTTGGCAATCTTGCAACACTCCTGCAATATTGCTCTCAACACCACATGCACTGCCTGAGTCCACAATGATTTGAACCTCACCTGAATCAACACTGCTGAAGGCCTTGGACATAGCACGTACATGCTGCCGGCCATGCCTCTGTGTCTCAACTGTCTCATACATGCTGAGGTCAAACTCCAAATTCTCTCGAAGCTCAACCACCGGCAAATCGAAAGGAACCGTTTCAACATTGCTGTCATCACCAATGAAGAAAAACTCACGCTTCTGCTCATGCACCATTCGCACATTCTCTGTCGAACTCGATGCAAGATCACTAAGGTCAAAGACCAGGCGACGAACTGTACCTTGGTTCGACTGCTGCTGAGTGCCACCTGAAGATGCTGAGGCATCCGTCTGCTGCTTTCCACCTCCAGATGTTTGCTCATCAACCTGTCGAACCTTGCCTCCCTTTCGTTTGCCTTTTGAATGCAAACACTCTTTGGCCATGTGTCCACTTCGACCGCAATTGTAACATACGGCCTGGGACTTTGCTTTTCCTTTGCCCTTGTCTTTGTCTTTGCCTTTTCCTTTCTGTTCCTTTCCTTTCCATCCTGAATTGTACGAATTCCAGCTTGAGTTGTATGAGGTCCAACCCTGACCAGAACCATACCCTTTTCCTTTCGACTTGCTATCACCTTTCTTGCCTTTGTCCTTTCCTTTGCCCTTGTCCTGAATCCGGTCAACCTCCATGTTTGTCGATTCACTGTTCTGCTGTTGTGGCAATGTGGAACCAAAAGCCATTGTGTCACTGTACTTTGTTGTTGCAACATCGAAACGAAGGATGGTATCACGCAACTTGCCATAATCTGTTGAATCTGTCAAGTTCAACTGCAACCAAACCTTCAACTCTCCTGTAATGCAACGAAGCAACACTGCTGACTTTATATCGTCTCCAAGTTTGTCAATGATCTTGTTGTACTCATTGAATGCTTCCTCAAGTCTCACAACCTGGCTAGTCATCGACTCTTTCAAAGCTGGCCACTGCATGATGACCTGAAGAAGCCCCATCGCTCTATTCTCACTTGCAGGCATACAACTGGCCACCAACTGACGTGTAGCCTCAAGACCGTTCATGTCACCGACTGCGCGCAACAATGTCAACGGCCTGTTCTTGAGCAGCGAGGCCAAAAGTCCGTACAAAAACATTGTCCTCTTGCACTCCTGCTCGTCCATGCCCGTCATCTCAATTGCTTTGTTAGGATCCTGCCTGATCAGCTCTAGATCTCTCTCATACTCTGCATCGATTGTAACTAAGTATTTCTCTAGCGGCCAAAACCAATCTCGAAAACTCGAAAGCTCAGCCTCCCTGTCCTTCGGTGCCCAAGTGTTGGGTTTCGGCAAGAGTTTATACCAATCATCACTACTCTTCTTTGGGGAACTAATTGCACTTGTTGCCAATGCTAGTGCCGCTTGCGCGGCCTGAGTTGCGGCCTCCGTGGCCTCCACGATACGTTGTGCCAACATGGCACCATCTATGCCAGCACTACCCCCTGCCGTCGGGGAACCTGCAGGAGAACCATGGGCCGCCGAACCTGACATGCTAGACAGTGGTGGAGATACTGGGTCCTGTCTCCTTCACTGCCTAGCTGGAGCCTTACCAATTATAGAATGTGGATCATCGGCTCCGCTACCATCTGAAAAACAATTGGTTTTCCTGAGCAACAAAGGGTCTGACGAAGTGCCTTAGTCACATGTCTACAGCCACACACATTGCAAAGCCCAACGTCTGCCATGGTGGTCAACAGCCAGCCAGTCAGCCAGCCATGTTACTACTACTACTACTACTACTCCTCCTCCTCCTCCTCCTCCTCCTCCTCCTGCTGCTGCTGCTGCTGCTGCTGCTCTGCTACTGCTACTGCTACTGCTACTGCTACTGCTACTGCTTCTGCTTCTGCTTCTGCTTCTGCTTCTGCTTCTGCTACTCCTACTGCTACTCCTACTCCTACTCCTACTCCTACTCCTACTACTACTACTACTACTCCTACTACTACTACTACTACTACTACTACGACTACTACGACGACGACGACGACGACGACGAGGAGGACGAGGACGGTCTACTAGTACCTCTTCTTCTTCTTCTTCGACTACTACTACTACTACTACTACTGCTACTATTACCACTCCTTATTCTTCTTCTTCTCTTCTACTACTACCACCACCACCACTACTACTCCTACTACTCCTACTCCTACTCCTATACTCCTACCCCTACGCCTACTCCTACTCCTAGTTAGTACTACCACTTACCACTACCACTTCGACTACGACTACAACTACGACAACAACAACAACAATGACGACATCAACAACAACAGCAACAACAACTATTACTACTACTCCTACTCCTACTCCTACTCCTACTACTCCTACTACTCCTACTGCTACTACTACTACTACTCCTACTCCTACTCCTACTCCTACTACTCCTACTCCTACTACTCCTACTCCTACTGTTACTCCTACTCCTACTATTCCTCCTACTCCTACTCCTCCTACTCCTCCTACTCCTCCTACTCCTACTACTACTCCTACTCCTACTACTACTACTACTACTACTACTACTACTACTACTGCTCCTACTCCTACTCCTACCCCTACTCCTACTCCTACTCCTACTACTACTACTACTACTACTGCTGCTCCTACTGCTACTGCTACTGCTACTCCTACTCCTACTCCTACTCCTACTCCTACTCCTACCACTACTACTACTACTACTGCTACTGCTACTGCTACTGCTAATGCTAATGCTAATGCTAATGCTAATGCTAATGCTACTACTACTACTGCTACTACTACTGCTACTACTACTACTGCTACTACTACTACTACTACTTCTACTTTTTCTACTTCTAGTTCCAAATACTTCTATATATGTCTACTTCTACTACTACTACTACTACTACTACTACAACAAGTGTTTCTGATATCTATTTAGTTACGAGAATTCGTTCTCACATTACTGGCCTTTTTCGCTTTGCAAGACAGTTGCATGGCATTGAAGGTCATTGTCACCCATGAGTCACATGAGTCATCACACTTGCAAGCTTGTAACGTTGATTGTCTTCACTTCTTGCCATGCCGAAGAGTTTCATGTCTCTTGTCGCATGCTTCATCTGCATACAACACAATGCTGCAGCTCAGGAATGATGATAATGTCATGCATCAAAATTGAGTGCTCCATCAAGTCCTTACTGTACTTTGCATAAGCATGTATCATGAGTCACGTCGCTTGCAATCGCTCCCGTTGGCTCGAGTCTATGTGCGCAGTGGTACAGGTCGGTTGTGCTATTTCAAAACATGTGTCAAGATGTGTCTTTATAGAACACTCCTTCGCAACAAGTTGGGAAGCGACCGGAATTGAGTTCCATTCTGGTGCCCGAAAGGTGCCCGAGGTCCTCTCCCACACATGACTGTTCTCGATACACATGTCAGCTTCAGCTTCTTTTAATGACATCTGTGGGACGTCAAGACATGAGTGTTTGAGCACACATCTGAAAACTGTCTTTTTGGACGTCAAAACTGTGGCCTGGCCAATGTGGATGCAAATGGCCTCACGCATGGCTGTTTTATCAAGGCTTCGAGAAAAAGCGCTTGGACCAATGTCGGAAGCACACCGTGTGATGTGGGATGCCTCAGGCACAAATCCTTGAGCCACAACACAGCAGGGCAGGGGCCACTGTCGACCATCTCGTCGCGGCCAAGCAACACTCGTCGTGCCGGGAGGAAAAGGGGGATGCGTTTCTTTCCTTGCCAATCATGTAGACTCTTGATTCAAAAGGCCTCCGATGCCTGAAATCGTATGAAAAGGTTCTGATTGTATATATAATCCATGTCTCGGGGTGGGGGGGGTGTTCTGATGAATCCAGAGTCTACATGACGAGTCGCTGAAAAAAATGGTCTCTTGAGGCTGTCGAGCGGTTCTCACGGTTCGGATCTGGCACGCCATGACCTTCTCGCACTGTCCCCGATCGGCGGTTTGGGGTATTCCCCGAAAGAGCCCGGCGCCAATTGGCGATGATCTGCGGTATATTATATTATATCATATTATTATATATTGTATTGTTTTATATGATTTTACATGATATGATATTGTATTATAGATTATATGTTTATATACTTATATATATATATTCTAGTATATGTTTTTATATGTGTTTATCCAAAAATATCCAATCCTTGGAATCTGGGAATGAGATATCTTCAAGTGCTGGTAGTACTACCAACCTCTTTTTGATGATCCGGGAGCTGGGAGTTCTTGAGCACCTCGCCTCAAGCAGCTAAAACAAAACCACATGAACATAAAGTGCTGCTTGTTCTTCAGGAGCACTCTACATGTATATACATATCGATACATGTTGATATTTCATATTCACGTCTGAAAATCCGATTCTTTCTGCAGACATTCGCCCGTCCCACCCTCCCCACCCCCAACCATCCGTGGCACCCGCGGCACCGCAAAACATGCGCCTCCGTTCTTCTGCTTGCCAATCTTCTCCAGCACCGCACTCACCACCTGTCACCGGTACTCGGTCCTCATCCGAGCGAACGGGGTTCGTTTGGAGCCCGCTCAGAAGGAGTCTGAAATGAGACCAGCAGTGGCAGAGACCCCCAACAGTTTCAAAACGATTCGTTTGGAGCAGATAGAAATGTCATCAGTAAACTGTGTTTTCCTTGTTTCCTCCTCAAGCTGCACGATCGCAGGCCCGGACTAATGCCTTCCCCGCAGTTAAACGACGTTTGGGGAAAAAAGAAGGAAAAAGAACGACGAAACGGCACGGGTGAAACCCATCGACGTTTGGAGTTGAAAGCCTGCCAAGCCCAGGAGAAGACGTCCGTTTCCTTTCCGCTTTCCCTTTCCTCTCTCGGGTCTGTCGGTGGAAGTCTACATTGATTTGGTTCGGGTCTGCGTTTCTGACACAACTCCCGGGCGTCCAACTGCGAAGTTGGACTGTCGAAGCCACGGGGAGATGATTGGCATCATGAGCCATATCTACGTCAGGGTTGGATCCTTCCTTCTCTACTGTTTAAGAATATGTGGTAACTGGGGATGCCACCACAAGTCGCAATAGATAGTCGGTGTTGAAATGTATGACATGTGTTTCCTCCCTCCAATAATCATGGTCATGGCATGTGCTTCCCCGAAAGGAAGACCCAATCCTCATACCAAACACCAGCCGAGCCGAGCTCGGCTCAGCCTGATCCGTGATGTAGGAGACATGTGTCCCACCACGGGAGGTGTTGATGGAGTTCACAAAGCTCACCTGGTCTTTTACGAAGACATGGAGGAGGGATGGGGGGGAACCCCACGTGGAACTTCCCAGAAGTGGTGAGTGAGAGCTACCACTGTGGAGTTCATCAAGGGGTGGGTAGTCAAGCTCCTCTTTGGAAAAACATAGAATTTCAGAGAAAACAGCACGAGCGGCTCCGAACAGATTGGGCTCCATGGATTCATCCACGAACAGTGGGTTGTTGAAATTATGATTTTCGCACATGGATTTGGGGCTTGGGATTCAGGATGAGCACGTCCGCAAAGGGTCCGCCTGAAGCCTATATAATGTGTAGGGCCTTAGAGCCTTCTCAAGCTACACACGCACCCATTGGTTCATGTCCCACTCCTCAACCAACTCTCCTCGACCACCCCTCCAACCCTGATCCCCGAAGGGAAAGACGCCAGAGGAGCGATCACCCAAAAATTCCCTTCCGAAAATCCATGGGACTGGAAATCAATTTTTACATTTAACCCCCATATATGTATACACAGGGAGACCTCCCTGTGTATGCACCCCCTCAAAAAGAAGGAAGACAAACCAGTCTACCCATGGTGCTTGGGTGTCTTCCTATTTAAAATATGCACCCATGTTTCACCCGCAATGTCTGTCACTTATTCCAGTCCCATTGGATGGTCCTTCTTCTTCCAAGCCTGCTGGAAGCCGGAGCCATCCGTGAGGCCCAACGCCACCTCCCAACGGTCGTTCACCACCTGGTGCGGTCGCGTCTTGAGCCGTTCGCACGAGCGAAGCGGTCCGTGATTTTGGGTGATGTTTGAGAACACATAGCTGGGTGATGGACTACAAACCCCAACACTTGACGTGAAAAAAAAATCAAGTTTGACTGGGGCAGCATGGCCGAGTGCCAGGTTTTGGGAGAAAAACATCGACTTCCTTGACTTGGCGATGATTTTTGTTGTTTCGGCGAATTAGGGACAAAAAGAGGAGGGAAGGAGGACACATCAACCCATGAGGGTCGAGCTTCCCGAGCTTCATCCACCGTTTCAACTTGAGTCACTTGTGAGGCTCTGGTAACCACACCTAACCACACCGAACCACACCCTAACAGGCCTGAGAAATGCGGAACTGTTCCGGTGCCACAAAGAGATCCACGTAGTCCTGTGACGGGTTGGCGCGTTCGACGCGTTCGTGGGTTTTCAGTGCGACATGGAAGGTGTGATCCATCACCTTCTTTTGCATGTAAGGGGCATGGATATGGTAAAAGTGCTTGAGCCTCTAAGCCTGTATGGATATATCGCCTATAGAACTGTAGAGCTCTAGCACCTCAAGGATGTTGGAACGGGGTCAGGGCCAAGGAAAATGACATGATCAAGTTGGAGATTGGTCTTCAAGGTTGCCCAAGATCCGCAACACTTCTTTGCCTCGCACATATCCCCCTTGGTAGTGTGTCCGCCTGCTTCCCTCCCTCTTCATTCGTTTCCCTCTTCATCCGGAAGGCTCTGTGAGGGGTTCCCACCTTTTGGTCAACAGTCAACAGTGGCATGTCAGGACGACAGTGTCTCTTCCTCTCTTCCTCTGGCCAGCCTGAAAGCAGGACACCTCCAAAAGCTTCCCATCTAAGATGACTTTGCAGCGCTGCCGAGTGCTCGCCGCCACATCGAAGGCCTGGGAAGCTGCCGGAGCTGCGGGGAGAGCTCGGGGCATGTGCCACCCAAGCTCTCACCGAAAGAACTGGAAACTGGATGTTCAGTGTGTTCAATCCTGGAGGGTTCCCGCCCTTCATCCGTGGAAGTCCTTCCAAGAAAACGGCTGTGGAAATAACAATGCCATTACTGACAGCATTCATCCATCCCTCCGTCACCGCCACAAAAAGGTGCTTCAATCTGTGGGACCCCCCCGCCCGGCGCCGCATGAGTGCCACGATGTCCTCCCGCGGATCGGTCGAAGAGCTCGTGAACGTCGAGGGCCAGAGGCTTGGTGGGCTGACTATCCCACCAGTCGAGACCCCAAAGAAGACGCACGTAGAAGATCACAGTGATGATCTTAAGTGAGAAAATGACTTGTGCCAGTCCTAGTGACCTAGTGGTGGTAGTCGCGGTGGTGGTAGTCGCAACATCAAGATGCCAAAACACAGCGTTCACACAATCTGCAAGTCGTAGTAAAGCTGCACCGATCTCCTGCACCTGCCACGAACAGTCGACTTTGGGCCACCAAAGCATGAGGTTTCCCTTGCACCTGCCACGAAAAGTGGCCACCATGTCCGAAAATGCACACGACACCGAGCGCAGTGAAGGAAAGCACCGTGCTTGCGCCCAGCAGTTTCTGCGACCTTGCGCAGTCAAAATGCACTTCAACCATCTCTCCCTCCCTCCCTCCCTCCCTCCCTTTTCCTTCTTCTGTCTCCTTCTTTGCACTTCTAAAGAAGTCGACTCAGCAGCTCTGCCCTTTGCTCCGGCGGAGCTGCTGAGTTGAAGATGTTGAAGGCATTGTCTGAAAACAAGGGACGGGAAGGATCTAGACATGATGAAATCCTCTGATTTGGGACATTGATATGGAAACACCTATGGAAAGCTGGATTGGGGTTGGGAAGATGTTATTCCACCACCAAAAGGGGTAGATTGGCAACTCCATTGGGATTGTCTCCAGATCTCAAGCACAGCCCCGCCATGTTTGTGCGAATCTTAGGCAAAAGGGCCATGTGTGGTTTTTACATGTTCCCTGACAAGAGGAGAGTTGCTGATAACATCTGATAACCACATCTGAGCTGAACATATTTGGGCAAACCAAAAAGAGCTTAGATTCTCACAAATTGGATTAGCGGTTTCTGGGGTCTTCGGGGTCTTCCGCGGTTACGGGGGAAGCAACGCAACTTCCGCTACTTCCTCACCAGGTGAACCCAGTCTGTCCTCCTCAAGAGCTCGCATGCCAAAGCGCGAGAAGTCCGGATAGAAGGTCACCTGGCAGATCAGTGGACGCAACAAGAGTCACAGCCGAGCCGAGTAGAACCCATCTCAACTGTGGCCATCACCCTGAGCCGATGAAGATTCAACTAACGCAGCAAAAGAGTGCCCAGCCAATACTCAGACTCCACAAACACCACCAGTTCTCCCACGGAAACACCATCAAGACACCGCCCATCTCTGTCCGAGAACACCGCGATGACATCTTCACACATCACATCCCTCGCTGTCCGTGAGGAGCGGTTCACTGGAACCCACTCTCCACAGGCTCCACAGGTGGTTGGCAGGTGCGAAACCAACGAAAACGTACCGAGAAGCTGCACTTGCAGCGAGAGCTGCACCACTTGAGGGTCAAGAAATCTTCCAGCGTATCACGCAGCCCAAAACTGGATTGAATTTGAGGCTCCGAACCCCCCAATCCTCAGGCCTGCGTGAAATCCTCCGACTTGTTCGCTGTTATGCTTGGCTTGTGGCACACCGTCATGTTCTTCTCCCAGACCTGTCGCGAACGCCGCACCACTTGGGTCACACCGCGTGCGACGTTCGGGCGCCGATCTCTCCGTCCTGCCGCCGGGTCCGGGGGTCCGGTCCCCACGCTGTGCCGAGTGCCGAGCTTGTGTTCAACTGCCCCAAGAAACTCAGTGACGATGTCGGGTTTCCTCGATGTGTTTCTCGTTGCCCAGCTGAACCCACGCATCAAAAACCGCCCAGTTCGGAACCGCGGGAGGGCCACCGATGGGCCCTACCATGGGGAGCCACCGATTTAGATGGTCTGAGGTGGTTCGCAAAAAATGGTCGCTTCCAGCAACACAGTGCTTGTGCTTCTCCCCACCTGCTTGTACTTCTTGCCAGACCTGCATGAATGTTGCGTTTGAACATTTGCAACCTCAACGGTCTTTAGGATTGTTTAGGTGCTGTCTTTTGCACTCTTAAGAAGGTGCTGGTCGCTTCCAGCAACACAGCTTTCTTCACTCGAATCACACAGACTCTATCCCATGTTCATCTACTGAGTAACTGGGCAAGGAACCCCAAAGACCTATAGCTACGTCATGCAAATCCAAACGAATCGCATCGTCAACAGTTCTCCCACTGTGGCCGCCTCACGTGTTCACTCCAACAACCTACCAAAAATCTGGTCTACGACTCAGGTCTGAGACGAGTCTGTCGAGATGAGTGTGGCGCCTTGAGTCTGCAGTTTCCAGGATAAACTTTGTGGAGAAGATGTTGGTGAGCTTGGCGCCATAGCCTCAATGCTGAAATACGCCTACTCGGAAAGAAGAAAAAAACTGCATGTTTGCAGGGCAAAAGGTCGGACTTGGCCTGGTTGATAACCCAAGCAAACACCGGAGGGTTGTGGTGGGGAAACCTTGGAGAAGAGTCAAACCAACCTCATCCCCAACCTCCACTGCTCATCTGTAAGTGGCTCCCTGGCTGTGTGGAGCAGGTTGCCTTGTCTGAGCGGCCCGGGCCGTTCCGTCCGCCCACCACCTTCTTCTCAGCGTCGTCATAGTTGTCACTTGTCAAGAGCTGCCCTTGCCCGAATGGGCAGCCAGAAGAGCACGAGGATAGGGGTGTGCCATATTGGCAAAAGAACAATGCAATCCTCATTGACCTCCCGAACATGAACACGGTCAGTTTTCTGAAGATGTTTACTATTGTTTGGAGTGGATATTCATCCGCAGATCTTTGAGAAGGGACTGTCCTTTCTCTGAGAAATGCTCGAGGTCAAACCAACAAGTGAACCACCACTGTCGTCCATGCCACCACAGGACTCAGGACCACTTGTATTGGGAGCTCGAGCAGATGGAGCCTGCTGCAAGCTGTGCTTCCAAATCGCATGATGAACCAAACACCAGACCAAACCATATACTGTAAAGTAAAACACAGATGTAACAAACACGGCTCCTGAGTTGAAAGAAGCTATAGCACCCGAAAGATACAGTGGTCTGATTGGATCTTCGTTTCTGGTGCTTCCCCAAGAAAAAAAAATTGGGTCGGGTCCAACGTTGCAGCCTGTTGCAGGGTCCGACAGGATATCAGGCTGTTCCTTCCAAGATGAAACCATATGGATGCCGATATTCCTTTGATCCACACCAACTGTTTGTAGGCGTGACTCCAACGTGACTGTAGCATCATCTATTTTCCTGCAACAAGGAGAATAAGACTACGAAAGCTGCTGCCTGTACTCTTCACCAAGCTGCCTGCCATCCTAGATGTGTTGGCTTGTGAAAAAGCAAACCCAATGATCAGTTGATGCAGACCGGTCTGAAGGACCAACGGTCACACCGGCGCACCCGCGCACCGGCGCCGCTTGGGCCCCCGCCGAAGACGAGCTCGGGCACGTAGCAGTGGTGCTCGCGGTGCATCTCGCGGGGCGACGTGGATCGCTGCGACGGGTGACATGTGTGACATGTGCGACGTGTTGAAGCTTCTGCTTGGTTTGTTGTGGGAATGATACCTCGGATCAGCTTCAAGGATCTTCCCCTTGAGGGTCTGGTCGAAATTTCGTCTTCTAACCCAGGTGCTACAGGGGGATTGAGTGGGCCATTTTAAGGATCTACATTTGTATGTTGAGAACACTGAAAATAAGGATCTGATCTCTAAGCTGAGAGGATATAGAAGTTGAAGTCGTTGCTCTCACAAGACTTACAATATCAACACCACCTCACAAGCCCAACACACCTGTCCAGCCAAGGAGATTGGCAATGCATAGATCATCCACAGAACGTTGTCTTTCCACCTTTTGACTGCGTTTTCGGAGTCCACCCCTAGCTACGTGTCCAACCACCCCACGCACGAGCGCAGGGAAGGCCAGCTGCCCGAGCCACAGCACCGGGCCCCAAGCCGCAGCCTGGACTGGCAGCCCCGCGCCGTTGTTCCACACGCTGATGGAGCCCTCCTTCCGCTTGACCTGGACTCAAGCTAACCAGAAACCTGGGCCCCCAAGCTCATTGGGGTCGGCAAATAGGAGATGCTCGCATATTCTCGTGGCACCGACCCTTTTTTGCCCGGTGGGTTTCGCTGGGGTCTCCCCTCCAAACACACCCCAGCTTTCACCAGTTTCACCCCCGGCGAAAGAAGCCCACCATGTGGTGAAGCACGGAGTCCGGTAATCGAGAGGTCGGATCACCGGTGATTGAGCTCAGCACGCGCGGTTCATACCGAGAAATGAATTGAATCAATCAACCCTTATCTTATTATATATATAGTATAGACCTCCAAATACAGTAGATCGAAAAGTAAAGCCCCTTTCGAGATGTATTGGAAACCATTTCTATCCATTTAAAGACCACAATCATGGCCATATCTACTAGCACCACCGTTCCCAGCGCCCAGGCCAGGCCGGCGAATAGTAAAAGCAAAAAAAACACCGCGCCTCGACGCGGATGGTATCCTGGGTCGGATCGCGGATGAGGTTATCCGCAGCGTTCACCTGGCGGGGTTCAGCCCAACACGGCCCTCATCAACCACGTCGTGGCGTGCGAGGGATCGGCAGCCGGGGGCGATTCTTCCGCAGGGCTTGCCGGGCTTGATCACCCCCCAAGTGCTGAGGGATCGTTGGCATAGAAAGAGGGGTGACCCACCCATGAGGGTCATTTGCCAAGTTGAACACTGGGCCTGAATGAGTGACCATTGTCCAAAGGTTGAAAAACCACCCGAAACCCAACACCTTGGGCGACGTACCGAGACCAAAGAGGTGGACACAGTGGCACCTCACCCCCTCACCACCCTTCTGCCCCATGCCCATACCCCATGGCCATGGATCTGACAAGCATGCCGGCGACTGCCAGGATCTCATCGAAAATCTTGTAGAGCGCAGGCACGTACCTGGCAAAGGCCCAGATCTGGCTGCACAGATCGCCCCAGACTTGGAGCGATCTGAGGCGGCGACTTGCTGGGTCCACGCATAGGCAAAAGACTAGGACGGTGAGGGCTGCGGGTTTTCTGTTCCCACTTTGGTGCTTTTTGTTCCCGAGGTGTTTCCTTTCCCGCTTTGGTGTTTTCTGTTCCCGCAAGTGTTTTGTGTTCCCGTAGGTGTTTTCTGTTCCCGCCGGTGCGGTTGAAATGTTACCGCTATACCACTGCTGCCACTTGGCCGAGCTTGTGCCACACACTCTACCCTCATGTACCAAAACGTGCCCTCACACCACGAAATCTACTCCAGCTGCAATGTTTCCCCTTATTAACCAATACTTCCAGCTGCAATGTTTCATCTCAATTCTTCCAAATACTAATTCCCTTTCATCCCGACTCTTCCAAATACTAATTCCCTTTCATCTCAATTCTTCCAAATACTAATTCCCTTTCAAATCAATTCTTCCAAATACTAATTCCCTTTCATCCCAACTCTTCCAAATACTAATTCCCTTTCATCTGATTCTTCCAAATACTAATTCCCTTTCAGCCCAATTCTTCCAAATACTAATTCCCTTTCATCCCAACTCTTCCAAATACTAGTTCCCTTTCATCTCAATTCTTCCAAAAACTGATTCCCTTTCAGCCCAATTCTTCCAAAAACTAATTCCCTTGCATTCCAGTTCTTCCAAATCAAATTCCCGTTCATCATCAGGTCATCATCTTCATTAAGGGGATGTGGTCTGCACCCAAGTCTTGTTGACCTTGTTGACCTTGAAGGGGGGGGTTGATTAATCCTACGTGTGCAAAAAACACCTTGACGGCGTTGCCGGGAACAAAAAACACCTTGGCGGCCACAAAAAACACCCCACTAGCGGCAACAGAAAACTGCGGGAACATAAAACACCTGCGGGCACAGAAAACACCATTCCGGGAAAGGGAAACACCACGGGAACAAAACACACCAAAATGGGAACAAAAAACACTATACCCCAATTCTCAACTAGAACCAACCTATAGCTGAGAACAAGCTAGGGCAGCTAGGAGTATTCTTGTTTGACTCTGTCAAGCATCTCGCAACCATTCTGATGCCCTTGGCGTGCAGTGCAGTGGTAGCAGCTGTACAACCTTATGTTTCTGCCTACAATGTGCCATACATTTCTTTCTGTGGTGGTGGTGGTGGTGGTGGTGGTGGTGGCGGCGGCGGCGGCGGCGGCGGTACTTGGGGGGAGCCGCCTAGGTAGGTTTGCTTTCCAACACGATGCGAGAAGTGACCGCCAAGGGGCTCGAGCGTCTTCTTCTCCATTCTTCCACTGGCATCCTTGGAGCGGAGCAAGGTCATCGGAGCGCAAGGGACTTGACAATTGGAGGTGGGTGGCATTTCCCTTGAGCCTAGTCTAGGGATTGGGTCTGAGTGCAAATGGAAGGCTTCCAAAAAGCACATGGAAGTGTGGAGAGCAACAATGAGAATATCTGTATCAATGAATGTAAATTATCAAGTCTTTTCGTATCCCCAAAAAGATCCAAAAATAAACTTTTGATTTGGGCTGGGGGAAATAACTCCAGGTGGGGTCCGTTTGCTGCCGTTCAGCGTAGGTCCCCCAAATGGGTGGACCCCAACGGATGTACTGTATGACGGGTTGATGGAAGAATTCACAGAAAATGGACCAATGGATCTCCCAACTTCTCCCAAAAACAAACCACCCGTCAGCAGGCCCTTGGGGCTTCCAGCATGGAAGACCCAGTGTTCCGCACTTTGCTTCTCTGTGGATCCAACCTCGGCACGTGGACGTCCGGTGAAGCCCCGGCTTTCATCGGTTTCACGGTCCAATCCGAAGGTGCCTCACTGAAGGCCGCGAATTGGCTGCCAGAACATGCCAGAACCGGCTCTGACAGGGGGTGTTCAGGATTTGGGGTTTTAGCAGGAAGTTCCAACAGCCCTGCTGAACCCCCCCAAAACCAGCCTAAAAACATGACCAAACAGTCCATCTTCCTTGGTCACAGGGTGACCTCCACATCTCCACGACCTCCTCCTTCGTCGGGGCCGTTCGATGTTCGGAAGGCCGGCTCCACGGACGAACGGTCAGACTCCGGGGCGGCAGGGGCGCCGGACTGCAAAACACTCTTTTGGCCAGTCCCATATGTCATGGTACCACTATATAGAGGGTCCCATAAGGTCTCGAGAGACCTCTGGTGGTTTTGAGCTCAAACATGCTCAAACTCCCAATTGTCCTTGGTATCTGAGTCTGAAGCATAGGAGTCCGGCCGCAGCAGGATGTGCCTCAGCAGGGAGGGGTGTCTGACCCAAGGAATGCGTGACTTGCAGACCCACGACTGTTGCGGACAGCAGGTTTGGATTCCGGACTCCAACAACGAGCGTTATCGAAGCCAAGACAGCCGCTTGGCACAGGTTTTGCGTCTGGCCGCGGTGGTGCAGGCTCACAAACCTCACGGCCTCGTGCTACTCTCCGACCCCGGTCGAACGGTCCGGAGAGTCGGTGGCCGAGGGGCTCCAGTTGGCTCTTCTTTTGATAGGTCTCCTCGACTGACTTCCTGAGTCTGAAGGCGGGGCGTCCCGGCTGAAGGGGCATGGCGTGACAGACTGGAAGAGAGCTGACTTTCTTGGGTGTCGCTTCTGGGGTGGTGTGAGCGAAATCGTCCCCGTGCCTTGGGGATCGAACAAGGGATTTCTTGGGACGTGGAGGAAATCGGTGACTTGTAGGTGTGGATGCTTCTTTAAGAAGGCATCGAAAAACTGCTATATTGATCCACATTGTACGGCCCTTGCCCTTTTCTGCGAAACTTCACAGAAGGTGCAGGCCAGGAAATTGCAGGGCACGGTATCAGTGCCATCCCTCATCTGGATCTCTTCAAAGCTGTTCAGCCATGTTAGTTACTTCCAAGAAGCCACGAAACTGTGCAGAAACCTTCCGAAAATGCTCGAGGCCCGCCGAGCCCCCCGGCTGAAGCTTCTCACCTCAATCTCCGAATGAATTCTCCAATTGAATGGATCTGGTGACTCGCATTCCGCAGAGAAAATGGATCTGCAACTTTGGGGTCTGGTTGCCAAAGGAATCCCCCCCTTTTCTCTTTAATCAGAGCCACTGCCGATACGCTTCCGACTAAGGCAGTGGTCCGGACCCTCGAACCGGGCGAACGGATCCGTCCGTCCACTGCTAGACATGTTGGACGAGCACCTGAAGCATGGAAAGCCCCCGGGCTGTGTGAATCAAGCTCAGGTGACGAGCACCCGAGCACCGGGTGGACGAACCTCGCATCCTGTCGGACGTTTTCAGTTGCCGACCAGGCCTTCAGGTGCTGGTCGGCCGGCATCTGAGCCCCCAACCCTTCACGGCGCGTACTGACACGTTGGCAGGGCAGTTCTCTTTGTCCTGCCGAAGAGCCAAACCGAAGAAGTCGCCTCCAACCAACAAATCACTGAAGAGGAAGCGGCCTATGAAATCCTCAAAGCCCTGTATCAATGTTGTCTGCAAAAGACCCGTCTCACCGCGACCATTCTCGGCCAACTGGAAGCCCTGCAGGTCTCAAGTGGCGCCCAAGCAAGAAGTTCCCTTCAACCCACCCGGCAACCATGGCGCCGCCCAGACGACCCGAAACTGCTTTCGCCAGACGCGGAGAAACAGGATTCCCCGACCCAGACGGCAGTGGAGGAAACATCCCATGGCGAAGGAACCACTGATGGTACCGGCTCTTCGACCAACGTGCACAAGCTGAAAAGACCCTCAAAGCATTTGGAATCCACCAAGCAGCCAGAAGTAGACCAAACCCTTGGAACATGTCTTGTTCTTGGAGCCATCGCCCAAAAAATATGTGTTTCAAGAAACACTCACCAAACTGCATGTCCGCCGCTCCACCTCCGCCGTCTTCCGCCGCTTCAGGGTCGCCATGTCGTCGCTTCAGGAGCGCGCGCCCGCTGAACGGGGCGTCCGACCTGAACGGCGGAGCCGGGAACCTGTAAAGGGCACGAAAGGGGTCCCGGGGTCACTGGAGATCCTTTTGGTCCCCCACAAGTGAGGCAAAGCACCATCTATCGCAGCCCCTGGTCCCAACCAAGCATCTTGAAATCAAGCGATCACTGCCATCTTACAACTGTTTCTCCAAATCTTTCCACCTTTTTTCTGGTTTGAGGTCATTGACAGTCAACAACACATCATTTCTCAATGTCTTCAATCCCTTCCGTGGCGCGCGCGCCCGCCCCTTAAGATCCTGACCGCAGAACAGCGCGTTCCGCGGCTTTCTTTGGGGCACCACCGCCACGCCGAGCCCAGAGTTCCGCCGAGCCAACCGCAATGAAGAAGCTGGAATGGGCTCCCGTCATGCTTTGCTTCCCCAAAAACAATGGGTGCAACGTTGCACCTCCGACATTGGTAAAACGATTTTGGGAGGCCCCCCTTCTGTTTCGAGCTACGGGGATGCATGAATCCAGAATGGACCTTTTTAACCCCTTCAAAGTCCGAGCCAAGTCTGGGTCTCACTGTCACAGCGGTGATTTTTACTCATCTTCGTCTACGGGTGAAAAAAGTGATACCAACATATGATGAACTCGCAATGGGTTAGGGGAACTCTCTTAGTCGCTCTGAACGGCTTTCACTATAGGGAATATGGATATACCCCTGGCGATGGTCAGTCGCAGCTAGTTACAGACAGAAGTCCTACTCCACCTGAGATTGGGAAGGCCCAGCAAAGCCACAATGCTTTGGTGCTACTGAACCAAAGCTTGCATCGACTTCCTCCAAGAGTAGAAGCATCGGTCGAAACCTCTTCGCGCATCTTCTTTGTGGTGGTACACCGAGTGCAAAGACCATGCTGTCTCAGCTTGAACATAGCCACTACTTCGTAAACACTTGTAGACTTCGGTTCCTTTACACGGTGCATATGTGCATTGTCAATAAGAATAAGTGGCATTAAGTGGCTATGTTCCTAGAACGACCGCCACTCAACACGAATGCCGATGCTGTCCTTCGCTGCGTCGCGCAGCGAAACCGTGACTCCCTGATGATCCGACAGGACCTCCTGCTGCACGCAGCACAGCTTGCAGGCGTAGCTTGCGGGCGCAGCTTGGTGGGTCCCCAAGTGGGATGTGGTCCCGGATGGCCAGGTGGAGAGCGCATCACCAGAGAACGGGATCCACGTTCCAATGGTATAGACCTGACCTTGGAAGTCACGCCTGACCGAAAGGATGCCGAATTGATGCATGATGCTTGCTCGCTCAGGAAAAGCGCTCTGCACCGATTGACCGATCGTTCGTTGCCTTCGCAGGTCAGACCTCTCTGACTTGCGGCCAACGAACAGAACGCCACCAAGGTCAGGGCAAGGGTCTCCACTCCAAGTTAAGCAAAAGGACACATGGCTCACCCTGCCAAGATATTTGATTGCCTAGAAAACCAAGGAAGCGTTTGCCTCCAGAACGTGTCTGGCCTCTAAAGAGATTGACAATTAGTTCGTCTCTGAACGTGTCTGGCATGACTTCCGAAAGCGCTTTCGGTGGTGCTTCCGGGCACTTCCCATACATCCGAGCCAGAAATCGCTCGTTTGAGGGTTCAAGAGGGGAGAAACACGTGGGCACGCTGGTTCCCAAGAAAAGACTCTGTCATTGGAGGAGCATGCATGAAGACCTGTGGTGCCGTATGTCGGCCCATTTTGTGGGCCCGAACCCATGCTTCCCTCATTGCTGGCGATCGGACCCTTACCCCACCAACTTCACCTGCTCCCATTCAAGGATCTGGTGGCCGGTGCAGACCAAGGCGAAAAATCAAAACAATTGGGAACCAGATGATAGGTCGGTCGCAACAACGCGAAACAGCTGTGCTTCACCCTGCTGTTGGACTTGTTTTTTCAAGTGTCCGTTGCGACGCAATGCAACCATTCAAAAGCAAAAAGAGGCTAGACACCCATGTCCTGCAGCGAGGCTGAGGCTCCGCTGCGAAGCTTCTGAAGAGAAAAAGAAACATCATCTCAGAAGGCTTTTCAGCGATGCGATGTCCAATGCCGTGTAACACTTTCTCTGGGTGTCTGCGGGGTGGTGCCACTGACTGATTCAAGTTGAAAAACTCGGACGAAAGTTTGCTCCCCAAACGCTGGGCTGCCCGGCTGCTCCGAGTGGATGACTATCTTCCACATGAGGGAGACTGATAATCAACTCTAGCTTCTTAGAACTTGAGAACATCCAAAAAGGGCCCAAAGGGGCTTTGGGTGAGTTCCCCTTCTCAAAGTTGTTTTCTTCCCTCATGCCGACGCCCAAAGCCAAAACGTGGTTCCAAGCTTGACGACAGTTGGCCCGGTTCTCTCTTTGTGAGGCTTGGCCCGACTCCAAAGCCAAAGCCCAACAGTTCAGGGAGTTGCCCTTTCGCACCCCTTTACACCGGCTGAGCCCAGCCAGCAAAAACAGTACCAGCGCGGCTCAGAGCCGCAGTCAACGGTCACCTGAGCCTGCCATATTCCACATGTCATTACAATACGTAAGACTGGCTCATAACAACCATCCAATACTGAACAATACATGGGGCTGTATTGCATATATGGAGGCCACTTGGTAATGCCATGTGTTGCATTACTGGCTCATTACAGCTTGCAATCCCTGCTATCCCTACCAAACCTGGGGAGCTTCAGACGCGAAGGTATGCCCTGCGACCCAACTCTCAATGATAAAGGATATTATTGTGATCCATCCCACTTCATCCAAAAATGTCTCCGCAGGTAGGAAAACCTCTGTTTGGGTATAAATGCCATGAATTGCTCCTAATATTCGATCCCTTTCTTATAGGTTTTTTCCTCTAGAGCAACTCTACGCCTGTAAAACTACTTCTGTTCATCGTCCGGAAACATTCGCAAAGTATGGTCTGGAGCAAGAATGTGGACTTCGTCCAAGAACTGTGGCCTTTGGATGTAACTGTGGCCTTTGGATTAGACCTTCATCATCCAAAATCACCGATCCCCCAAAAGGCTGGCGAAAGACCCGTCCCCACATCCGAGCTTCCCCACTCATTTGCCGCATGCGCCGCTCGACAATGTGGTATCTGTCAAATCCGTGACAGGTGGGGCTGGGATCTTCACATCTTTTTCGGTGTCATCCGTCCTTGTCATTCTTTGAGGCCTTGATGGCCTTCGTTTTGTCTGCTACTTGACTGGTAGGTGTTCCTCCTAGCTCCTGCCGGTCACTCCTGCCTTTCGCTAACTCTCCGCGTGCCGTGAAACCCCGCTGGGAGGCCCCACCCCGTGAAGAGGAAGCTCGTGTAGCTGATACGCACCTCGAGTGTAGAGGTTGGCTTTGCAACCAGCTGAGCTGGACCGGGAGGGCGGGCCCGTGACTTCCTCACAGCGTGGGGTAAACGAGGGGTGGAAGAACTGGCTTTGACTTTCGATGTCTTCTATATAATTAGTTCTGGCAATTGCTTGAAGGTGTCACCCTGTCACCCTTCCCATGCACTTTGGGCAAAGGCAGTTTGGTCGAACCCATTTCTTCAGCTGCCTCTGCCGAAACCAACGAACGAGTTCCAATCGTCCATCCCAATCACTTTCATCGGCACTTTCACCCGCAAACAGCCCGAACATCTGATCTCAAGCCCGACGTGCTCACTTGTGCTCTGGCGATCGCTTTCACGTGATCAACCGTAACTCAACTCATTGGGTTAAAAAAGAACCTGTCGAGTCTGTCAAGGTAGAGGAGCTTGGAGCCTTCGTCGTGACTGGACCGGCTGAGCAATGACGCTGTCGTGTCACACCGGATGACCACTCGGTGCCCATGCCATCAGATCACGGCCCAGAAGCCCCAGCCTGAGGTGTGGTTGACGGTTCAGCGGAGCCGACCCCGTCATGTTTCGGAACCAAAGGCAGAGGAAGATGCTTGCTCCAAGAAAAGAAACACAGAGTAAAACCATAATCCCATCAATATCTCAATTCAGAAAAATCATCCCACCCCAAATCCTGCAACCACTTCTCCACCTGCTCCTGCCGTCCCCCCCAAAAAACCGCCTCCCCCTTGCCAAAACGACGCACCCACCTTCCAGCGCCGCAGTAGCTCCTGAACAACCGGCCCGGTCCAGCAGGTCACGGACTTCGGTTTCACGACCGGTGCGAGGGGTCCGTCCAGCCCCGCCCCGTCCCGGCAGGTGGCACCTGTTGGGGTCAGAAATCCCGAAGCCAAGTCCGGACTTGGATCAATCAAAAAGGGTCTTAGGGTTGAGGGATCTACCGGAGGACGGTCCAGTGATATACCAACCCTAAGATTTGGGCCTGGCCTTGTTTACACCTGTACCATTCGTTGAACCAGCAAAACGGCGATCGAACTCAGGACGGCAACACACCCTAGAGTTTCGACATGTGTTCAGCCAGGCTTGTGTACAGGATCCAATGCGGCATCTCTTGTGAAGACTAAGAATCCTTCTTCTCCACCGCCTACGTGCCGCTAAACCTCCTCACGAGGTCCCAAAGAAGTCCTCTTTAGAAGACACCCAATCCGTCAGAGAAGTGACTCCACTTGTGAAAGACCCACTCTGGACGAGCGAAGCTCGCAGACTTCTCACAAAATGGTCTTTAATCATTACATAGTCTTTTTTCAACAAATCAACTCTCAAGTGTGTTAAAAGCCCTCCAAAAATCCTACAAAACTCCCCCGAAAGATCAGAAACCTCACCGGATCATACCAGATATATACCCCAACAAAACTCCCAACAAAGAACATCTTAACCTCGGTGACGAACCCGCCGCGACTCCGTCAGAAGTGGATGGGAACCTCACTGAGGTGAGTGTGTGGCGAACAAATAGAGAGACCTGCCAGGAGACCCCCGAGCCGCTGGAAGAAGGGAAATAGACCAAACCCATTGACCCAATGGGCCAAATAGAAATACACACCCAATAGTAAGTGTCCGACACTGCTGCCCGAAGCTGCCGGCTGCACGAAGCTACCGATGTCCGCGCGGTTTTGGTTCGAGTCACCCGATCAGGAAAGTTGCATAGGCCTGGCGACGCGGGGAGACACTCGCGACAGAGACGCGTTGGGAGCAAAAGACTGTGTCCATTCTCTTCCAGCAAGAAGCACACTAAACATCGACGTCCAATCAAGTGAAAACGCGGCTGCTATGCCTACTACCAGATGCTTGCAGGTTGTCTCTAGGGACCTACAAGAATCACCCAGCGGAGACGAAGATCGACGAAGACCCTTTCTGCCACCCAGCACCAAGGAAATGCTGGGCTTGCAGCCGCAAGCTTCTATCAGAGCACATCCACCACATTGAGTGGACAAATTCTTATGATCTCAGCTGCATGACAATACTTACATTGTGCCTTAAAGGCTTAAAGGCATCGACGTTGTGTGATAGTCATACTTGCTTCGACGTGTCTGTCATTATGCTGGGAGTGGCGGCTTTGGGCTCACTTTGCAAGTTCATTTCGAGTCATTCTCCTATGTACTGACCGCTCGCGCTTTTGCCCAAGTAGATGTTTCATGCACAGTTTCTTTGGTTGTTGATGTTGATGTGGTTCGTTGCCTGAACATCAGGCTTCCTATGGGCAAACACCGCAGTCCCAATTTCTTTTGGGCCTGCTGGAAATTGCCTTCCTTAAAAAGTACTATGGGTTCTGGAATCCCTTTCAAAAAGCATACGTTCTGCGTTCTTTCCTATCAAGACCTTCCACCCTCCGCCCACTGAAGTAGGCATGTTCCCGTTCGCTGGTTTGGGCGCTGAACAACGTCTCTTTCCGCACCTGCAGGCGTTGCCTCTGCGTCATGTGGACGAGCTCCGGCCTCCAACCGTGCGAGCTCCGAGCTCGCTCCGAGCTCGACCGGTCGCGTCGGGTCGGGTCTGCACAGCTCTTCTCGCCTCTGGATGAGGTTCAATTGGGTCGAAAGGGAACAGGACTGTGGGACTGATGGATCAACTCTTCTCCAGCCATGACATCTCCGGCAACTGCAGGGAGACGTGTCTCCGAAGAAAGACCTCTCCTTTGGATCGAACAGCCCAGACGACCCTTCACAGCCCGTGCCAGTCGAAGGACCCCATCTGGGCCACCGGCGTCGCTCGTGGGTGAGACCACCCTTGAACACACGCCCTTTCAAAGCTACGATGATGTGCCACGCGAGCTACCGTGGGTGAAACCACCCTTGAAAACACGCCTTTTTTGTTGGGAATCCCCCAAAACCACCACGACTCTTGTTGAGACCCCATGAGCTTCGCACGAGCAGTAGGCCCAGGAACAGACCTGGTTAAAGGGCATCGACCTCAGACATGCAACCACTCAGGCCTACTCATGGCCACTGTGGCCCCAAAAGTGGCCCTAAACACCAAGGTGGCCGATCCTTGCACATGAGAATCCTCCATGGAAATTTTATTGAAACTTCTTGAAATCCTTCAAAAGTCTATAGAAATCAATGAAATCATCCACATCAAAACCTAGAACTCCACTCACTTGACTACACTGAACACCAAACACCACAAGAGGAAACCCAGTCGCCAATCTTTCGGCCATGTGCAGCGGGTTCGTTCCGCCCCGGTCCTACCGCAGTGGACTGCGTCTGATCCTCGGAGCCCGACAGTACGGAGGAGATCATGGACGCGCTGAGGTCCTGGCACAGGCACGAAGGGGCCCGGCGCGGAGGCAGGCGCGGAGGGGTCCGGCGCGGTCCGGCCCCCCCCCCGTCCCATGACGAAACAGGCATAAAAGAGCGATCCGAACTGGCTCCTTTTTGGTGGGTTTGAAGCCATCAGAAGTTGCCAAGAGCATCGATCTTCTGGGATTCCTTTCTTGAAGATCATCTTCATCTTCTGGGTTCTATTCTTCTGGGTTCTCATGTTGGTTCCAGGCTGGATCTTGGCGTTCGTGTCCGGTGCGAGTCACACGTCCTCTCCATCAGATTCATCACCCAGACCACTCCAACTGCGAAATGCGGGGATGGATCAAGCTGGAATCAATACAGTACATCAACGCAAAGTGTCTCTCTCTCTCTCTCTCTGTCTTCAGAATCCAATTCACCACCCAGCTCGCCCCCCTGAAATCAGCTCGCCGACCGCGCCCTTGACCACGCCCAACATTCCCGCGCCCCGCCGCAAACCGCCACGCGCCACTCCCCGGTGCCGCAAACCCCGCCGCGCCCATCCGCCATCCGTCCGACAAGATCGCTTTGGTCTCTGGGTGGCGGTCCATGGTGGGAAGATGCTGGACCACCTCACAGGCGACGGCAGCGCGCGACGGTCGCGCGACAACGCCTCTGTTTCCACACGCCACGTCTTCTCGGTGTCGGAGAGTCAGCGGTGTCGGTCGCTGAAAAAAAAGAAAAAGAGCGGCGTCCTCAGAAAGCCTCAAGGGGCCAAGCTGATGGTTTTGGTTTGAACACCTCCAGAATCGGGAAAGGAAAAGAAATTAAGAGACGTGAGAGAGATGGGTTGCATTCTGACCTCAAGCAAATGCTTGTGGCATGGCGTGGAGCTACTGCCTCCAAAGAGGTACGTTCTGACACAAAGGAACGCAGGCCCGAGCTCTGCACCCTTTCAGTGTAGGGAGCAAAGAGCCTGCAGGTTTGGTCGGCCCACGGGCTTGAGCGACGTCCCAAGAGGGACAGGAATGGAGTACACAGGCCTACACTCAACGTCAAGGGCGTCCTGGTGTAGGGCCGGTTCTGTCATGGTTATGCCTCACATGGCATTCCAACGGATGATCACAAGCCCTGCACATTAAAATGCCGCTGGGGAGGCTAAGCAACCCAGAAAGAATGAAACCCCATGAACCTCCGCGGCCCTTTGGGATTTTCGGTCCCAGTTGAAAACGCGTCGCCGCCGGCCGTGCGACCCGCCGCTTCGGGCCGTGCTCCCCTCCTGATGCCCATCATCGCAACCGCATTTCGCCAGACGTGGAAAATGAAGCCGGGCCCTGACGCACGAGGCTGGTTGGTGTCATATCTTAGATCTCCCTATCGGATATCTGGTCGAAACAACTGTGTATACATGTATATATATATATATGTATGTGTATATATATATATAAATCTATTGTGTCGTAGCCATCCCAAAAACGTGGCAGACATCGCACAACAGAGTCGACCCTGTCAGCGACTGTGTCAAACCTCACGGAAACCTCCGAGCCCTGCCTGAAATCTGCATGCTGGGCGTGATGGCAATGTGCTGATGAGCAGGCCTGCACACCACCAGAATGGCCTCTGGGCACCCTTTTTTTGCAGCAGCCCTACATTTTAAAATATACATTTAAAAAAACAAAAGTAAAAACATAACAATAACAATAATAATATATTTGTGAAGTTATCCGGTTGAAGCCCACTGCAGCCTGCACTGCAGCTGAGGAAGGGGCATATCAAATGTGTATGTATATATATATATGCTAGCCCCCCCCAAAAAAACCTATGTTTCTGAGCGCTGGTGTGCAGTTGGTAAGCATATTTGTTCATTTAACTATGTACTACAAAAATGTCCAAATCCATAAGGTTATGTGTTTACTAAACAGTTCTTGGATGGAGTAATCTAATTCACTGCAACTCCATGCAAAACCATATGTCTTGTTTTTAGGGTGTGAATTGTACTGCTCTTATTGAATGCAGTTGAGCAAGTACATCATAATCAGAAGGCAAAGAATTGCAAACCCTAAATAACTAAATTCCAGTTTAATTCTAATTAAACTTGAATTCCAATCTATTCAACTCTACTCTACTTTGTATATTCAAATTCAAATTTGAGTCTATTTCAATTATTTGTAAATTCTATTTTGATTCAAAGGTCTATCACTATAGATTATAATTTACTTGGGGTTCAATGCAAGCCTAACTTTAATTTGATTTCAAGCTAATTCTAACTTCATTGCTATACACGTCAGATTTAATTCAAATAGTGTGTTATTTTTAATGTTTTTAATTTGAGTGAAATTCTCATGTACTTCTAGAGAAGTGGTGTCACTTTGAACATGAGAGATTTTATGTAGTTTTTCCAATATAGAAGCATGTGCTTCCTTAAATGAATTAAATTCACCACCAGCAACACCCACTCTCTAGAATGACACCAAAACTGAATTAGAATTCCATGTGCATTGAACTAGAATCAAAATAGGATGAAATTAGACATATAGAAACCAAACCTAATTTGCAATGACAATAGTGTAAAATTAGATGTGTAAAACAATTGAATCTGAACCGTATAAAGGCATTAACATTAGAAATTAATTACTAGTAAACTGGAAAAGTCAAAGTTACAATTGAACCCAAAAAAGAATGAAATAGAACTAAATTGGAAGTAGACTGGCATTAATTAGAGTTGAAAGAACACACATTGAATAATAATCCATTACTTAAATTGAAATTGACTTAGAACTAAGGTAGAATTGAATTAGAGTTGTTTTACCTAGAGGTTGTATAGTAGAACAGTATTGACTTAGAACTAAATAGGAAACTAAGTTCAGTTAGAATTGAACTAGATCTAATTTGCAATCTCAATTTGATTTCAAATATATAAAGTTTAATTAGGATCATTTCTGTTTGAATTAGAAGCACGTTGCAGATTCAAATTTAGATTCAAGTTTGAATTCCATTAGATCTAAAATAGCCAGACATAATTAGAATTAAAATAGAAATGAGTAATTTAGAAAAACTGAATTAGAATTTGTCTATACAATGAAGTTAAGCTAAACAGACTTAAATTAGAATTCAATTAGGCTCAACTTAGGCTTAAAGTAGAACTATGCTACATACTCAAATTAGAATCCCCCCAAAAAAAACCTGTGTTCACTTCATATATAATAAGTGATAATTCCTCAGAATGATTCCTGCCCAGAGAATGCCAGAGAATGCATTCCTGCCCAATACCAAGACCAAGATCCAAGATTTGCACAGAAGTCTTGTGGAAAATCTTGGAAATACCAAGACTGGACCAAGATCCAAGATTTGCACAGAAGTCTTGTGGAAAATCTTGGAAATACCAAGACCAAGATCCAAGATTTAGAAAATCTTGGGAATACCAAGACCAAGATCCAAGATTTGCACAGAAGTCTTGTGGGAAATCTTGGAATTGGATCTTGGATCTTGGCAAGATTTTCCACAAGACTTCTGTGCAAATCTTGGATCTTGGTCTTGGTATTTCCAAGATTTTCCAAATCTTGGATCTTGGTCTTGGTATTTCCAAGATTTTCCACAAGAC